GATAATGTTTATAACCAAATCTTCCCCAGGAAGAGGATTTTGTGCCAACCCCAAGGCCTCGGAGATGGCATACATCTCGGCCAAATAGGTAGTGATGGAGTGAGAGCCTCGTTGCATGCGCACAAGGGCTGATTTGAGGGCAATGATGTGGCCACGGGATGTACTAGCAAAGGTGAGTGCTAGTTTTTCCCATGCTAAGCGAGCAGTAGATGTTGACGAGATAAGTGGCTGGATGGTGTCGGAGCAACTGCCCAACAAAGCACTGAGGAGAGTCTTGTCTTGGCGATACCATATGGTATATCAAGGATTCAATTGTGTCTTGGTAATGTCGGTGAACTGATCTGGAATTTTGATAGTTCCATCAACGTAGGCTTCAAGACCAAGGCCGATAAGGGCGGTGACGTGCACTTTGTCGTATGTGCACTCAAAATAATAATCAATACAACACTAATACGTAGTATAGTGTAGTAAGGTTCGTATCCACAGGGAAAGGAATACTTCTCTTTTTATAGAAATAAATAACAAAGGGGGGGGGTTATGGTTGGTTGATGAACTTAAATTATATTTAAACACAAAGATGAACGACTTATGTGGTTTAATTAATGAGAAGAAGACTTGGCTTTGCTTTTATCCACTTAATGAAATGTTCGTCGATCCCGGTTATATCTTTAACTATCTTCCTCTCAAATACCCAATCGAGGAGTATATCCAATTCATCGAGGGTAGTTATTAATAACGAGACGCGTTCATTAATAAAACTTACTAACGAGTTAATATAGAACACGCGCCGTATATTCACTCGATAGTAGCAATAAAATAGAGATGAAAACGATTGAGATTGATAACCTCAACACAAGCGGTTTATTGGTTTAATCAATATAATTAATTCCCCTTAGGTTATTAACCATGAGACGCATGCATTAATAACCCAAGTTTACTACCGTGAAAGGATCGAATTAATAACAAGCGTATTAATCGACCGATTCTAGTATTAATTAATATATGAAACAAAACTAGTTGATCCTTTAAGCAATGCTCAAAATATTAATATGTAATAGGAATAAGAATTAATTAATATTCAAGGAAGAAGATTAAAGAAAATAACTCACAACTTACAATTCATTAAGCTTCAAAGTAGCAAAACCAAGATATGAAAGTTTAGCTCCTCATTTGGAGACTAAACATGCTAGAAAAAAAAATAAAGAATGCTATTCTAAACTGAGCTTAAGAGAGTATATGAATTGGTGATTTTATTGTGAAGGAAAGGGGTGTATTTATAGGCTTTTGGGAGCTGCAGGGTCTGATATCCGATCGGGTATATAGGATACCCAATCGGGTATCTTAGGAAATTGCCCAGAAAGTCACTTTTCTGGGCATACCCGATCGGGTATGTCGGCATACCCGATCGGGTATGTGACAAATCTTCACGAAAATTTGCTCCCACGATCATTTGTTCCCGGATTTGATTTGGACAATCGAATCAAGCAAATACCCGATCGGGTATAGGCAATACCTGACCGGGTACATGAGTATTTTTTCCAAATTGAAATCTTTCTTGTCTCCTTGCACTTTCCTTGATCTTTTAAGGTCCAATCTTGATCCCTTAGATGATCTTTGACCTGTTTAGCTCAAAATAATCCTAATCTAAACAAATTACAAATAAGAATGAAAACAAAATATTACACCAAAAGTGTGTAATTTCCACAACTAGAACTAATAAAAACTAGTTAAAAATACAAACATACAATCGGAAATTACACGAATATCAACTCCCCCACACTTAGCTTCTTTACTCGTCCTCGAGTAAAGTCAAATGTTTAACACTTCCAAATCCAGCCCAAGAAGTCCTTAAAATGACAAGAGTATCAACACCAACATCTACGTGTGTTTTTAGAACAATACAAAAAATTATCCCCAAAAATATAACAGTAGAGAGGGTTCTTTAACTCCATACTTCCTATCAACCTCAATTTTTTCATTGTTACCCTTAGGATCCTGCAGAAATAAAAGAAATACTTTTTCTCATTCTCTCATTTTGCCTAGGTGCCCTTTCGGGTTTTCATCCCAGCTTCCCACATTTTTCTGTTTTAATTCTCACAACTCACTCTTATTTTTGCTTTATTTTTGCTTAAGTTGCCCTTTCAGGTTTTCAACTTAACAAGCATTTTATTCTTTTTTTTTGAACATTTTTTTTGAACAAGAATAAAGAGTATGAATGCGAGTAGTCCATAAAACTCTCCCCCCAAGCTAGCCAAAGCACTGTCCCTAGTGCTCATCTTCGGGATATCCTAGAAGAGGGACCCGTTTGTGATGTCATTTCTTTGTATGCTGAGGAAGTTTCGGAATTGGTTTTTGTGTGGTTAGGGAATTTTGTTGGAAAAGGATGGAGAGGATGACGTGGGGAAGAAGGATATGAGGTTGATTTGGACTTTTGGTGGGGAAAGAGGGTGAATTCGAAGTTGGGAGAGCTTGAAAATGGTGTTCTTGGGGAGGGTGGTTCGTATTTTGCAAAAGAGGAAGTGAAGAAAAAGATGGATGCTTAGCTCGTCTGTTTTTTTTGTGTGACCAACTTCCAAATTGCCCGGCCGGGTGGGGTAGTTGACCCGGTCGGGTGTTAAGTTTCCGTGATGGCAGAGAGTTTTTGGGTTGAATACCCGGCCGAGTGGGTTGAGTTACCCGGTCGGGTATATCAAGTTTCTTTTTTCCTTTGCCTTCCTCGCCCGGGTGATGGGACGGGTGTGATGATTTTAAACTATACCCGACCAGGTTATATGTGATACCCGACCGGGTATATGCCCCAAGCCTCTAGAAATCTTTTTTTTGAAGTGCAAAAATAAAATAAAACAAGTAAATGTACCTTGCATGGGTTGCCTCCCAAGAAGCGCCTCATTTAACGTCGCGGCACGACGTTATCATTGTGTTCAGTCATTCAAACTGGGATCGTGATAGTTTATCTTCTTCACACTTTCACTCCTAGGACTTCCATAGGAATGCTCAATTTCTCGACTCTTCACTTTAGAAATCTTTCCAGGATCAAATATCCAGATTTTCATTGATTCATGTGGTGGGAGGAAGGGGGAGAAATTATCGTTTAGCATGGTCAATGAAAAGTTTTTTGATCCCTCAATTTTGAAGAAGATTTCGGAAATGTCATTGTCCTTTTCAAGTTTACGAGTTTCTCTTAAAGCTTCCAGAGATGATGGAGATACCTCAAAGGATGACAATGACAAAAATTTGAATTTGAAGCTCGGCTTATCCCCTTCTTTGACCAGTTGGAGCTCCGTGTCTTTTTCTTCTTCTACTTCTTCTGGATTTTGGATCTCCTTTTGCATTTCCTTTTCATTTGTCAATGTGATTGCAAAAGTTTGCTGTTTAGGATCACATTCTATTTGAGAAGGAAGTTTTTCCGAATCCCTTGCTTCAAGCCTACTTACGGCTCCGGCTATTTGAATCACTTGAGTTTCCAAGTTTGAAATGCTACACTTGGTCTCATTTTGGAATTGTACCATGTTGTTTTGCATGGTGGTCATATTGGTAGCAATAGCCCGGACCATATCCTCCGTAGACATGTCAGAGTTGGAGAACGGATCATACCTCATGTGAGGTACATCCATTTCGTAACCAACATCATCAATTTGTTCAAGGTATTCCTCTTGAAGCTTTGGGCAGAAATCCGTAAGATGCCTGTGAGACATGCAAATGTTGCATGTCTTGGCATCTTGAGCTTTTGAGCTTAGAATAAATTCCTTTATTAGAGAAGTTAAGAAGAAAATTTGACTCTCTAAGGATGATGTGTTGGTATCCATATACTCATAACTCATGTAAGCTCAGAAAATAGAAGAGTAAGATTTTTTTATATTTTTTTTTGATTTTTTTTGTTTTTGATTTTATGAGAAAAAAAATAAAATGAAAAACAATTGCCTTTCCCCGGCAACGGCGCCAAATTTGACGTGCACTTTGTCATATGTGCACTCAAAATAATAATCAATACAACACTAATACGTAGTATAGTGTAGTAAGGTTCGTATCCACAGGGAAAAGAATACTTCTCTTTTTATAGAAATAAATAACAAGGGGGGGGGGGGTTATGGTTGGTTGATGAACTTAAATTATATTTATTAATTCAGCGAGGGTAGTTATTAATAACGAGACGCGTTCATTAACAAAACCTACTAACGAGTTAATATAGAACACGCGCCGTATATTCACTCGGTTCGTAGTAGCAATAAAATAGATATGAAAATGATTGAGATTGATAACCTTAACACAAGCGGTTGATTGGTTTAATCAATATAATTAATTCCCCTTAGGTTATTAACCATGAGACGCATGCATTAATAACCCAAGTTTACTACCGTGAAAGGATCGAATTAATAATAAGCGTATTAATCGACTGATTCTAGTATTAATTAATATATGAAACAAAACTAGTTGATCCTTTAAGCAATGCTCAAAATATTAATATGTAATAGGAATAGGAATTAATTAATATTCAAGGAAGAAGATTAAAGAAAATAACTCACAACTTACAATTCATTAAGCTTCAAAGTAGCAAAACCAAGATATGGAAGTTTAGCTCCTCATTTGGAGACTAAACATGCTAGAAAAAAATAAAGAAATACTATTCTAAACTGAGCTTAAGAGAGTATATGAATTGGTGATTTTATTGTGAAGGAAGGGGGTGTATTTATAGGCTTTTGGGAGCTGCAGGGTCTGATACCCGATCGGGTATATAGGATACCTGATCGGGTATCTTAGGAAATTGCCCACAAAGTCACTTTTCTGGGCATACCCGATCGGGTATGTCGGCATACCCGATCGGGTATGTGACAAATCTTCACGGAAATTTGCTCCCACGATCATTTGTTTCCGGATTTGATTTGGACAATCGAATCAAGCGAATACCCGATCGGGTATAGGCAATACCTGACCGGGTACATGAATATTTTTTCCAAATCGAAAATTTTCTTGTCTCCTTGCACTTTCCTTTATCTTTTAAGGTCCAATCGTGATCCCTTGGATGATCTTTGACCTGTTTAGCTCAAAATAATCCTAATCTAAACAAATTACAAATAAAAATGAAAACAAAATATTACACCAAAAATGTGTAATTTCCACAACTAGAACTAATAAAAACTAATTAAAAATACAAACATACAATCGGAAATTACACGAATATCAGGCGGCATGAACTTGTGATTTCCACACAGGAAAGTTGGAAGAGGTCAGTTTAATGGGAAAGTGAGTGGTGACGGTGATGGGAATAACGGCGGTGGTAGCGGTGATGTTCATGGTGACTCTGGCGAGGATAATGGAGAAAAAAATGGAATAAATAAGCTCGTTAGAGATTGGTTCTTGATACCATAAAGAATAATGATATTCGATGATATTGAATGTACATACACGATGCATATTTATATGCATGTGATACAATAAGATTAGATCATATGTAGAAGCTGTTCTCTTCACCTGATCTGAATGCTTCTGATCTGAATTTTTTAAGTTCTGATCTGATCTGAATTTTTCTGATCTGATCTGAATCTTTCTGATCTGATCTGAATGTTCCTGATCTGATCTGAATGTTCCTGATCTAATCTGAATGTTCCTGATCTGGTCTGAATCCTTCTGATCTGATCTGAATCCTTCTGATCTGATTTGAATCTTTCTGATCTGATCTGATTTGAATATTTCTAAAATTACAATTACAATTATAATTACTATAATTATAAATGTAATTACACATATATAATTTAAATATAATTATAATTATAATCATAATTATAAAAATTACTTCGTATAATTATAATTACAAACATAATTATAATAGGTATAATTATTATTATACGTATTACACTAGTTATAAATATAGTTATAATTATAATTGTAATTATATTTATAGTTATATTTATTTCTATAATTATAATTTTAATAATAATTATAATATTTATTTCTATAATTTTAATTGTAATTACTTCGTATAATATGATAATAACGAAAACAAAACTAATAACAATAACAACAACAACCATATTAGTATTAAGAATAATAATAATCATGATAATAATAAATATCATAATAATAATAATCATAGTAATCATAGTAATAATAATAATAATAATAATAATAATAATAATAATAATAATAATAATAATAATAATAATAATAATAATAACAATAATAATAATAATAATAATAACAATAATAATATCAATAATAATAATAATAATAACAATAACAATAATAATAAGAATAATAAGAATAATAATAATATCAATAATAATATTAATTATAATAATTGCAATAACAACAACAAGAATAATAATAATTATAATTATTATAATTATTATAAATATTATTATAATTATTATTATAATAAAAAGGATAAATCATGTCTAAACGTTTCTGATCCGATCTGAATGTTCCTGATCTGATCTGAATGTTCCTGATCTGATCTGAATGTTCCTGATCTGATCTGAATCTTTCTGATCTGATCTGAATGATTCTGATCTGAATCTTTCTGATCTGATCTGATCTGATCTGAATTTTTCTGATCTGATCTGATCTGAATAAAATAAGAATAAGCAATAAGTAATAAGATTAAGACGAACAGAACAGTAAACTAACTATGCTAAAGTATGTGATACATATCCTCACGCGTGCACACAATAAGTAAACAAACTAATTTAAGCTATAAAAGTGGTGTTGATAAACACCCACTTATGCGCAACATATTAGCTAAACGTACGTCATACAAATATGTACACTAAATAATAGTTTGGGTTTGGGATTTGGTGCCAACTTCCGAGTTTGGCGTGTTGTTTTCACTTCAATACCTCCAGTATTGTTTGATGGTGGTTGGAGTTTCTCAGCAGAGCGCTATCACACAGGTTCGTGGGAGTCTGCTTTGATGGTTGGCAGTGGCTATCATGGTGTGGCGGTTCAATGTAGCGGAGGAGGATTATACATAGAGCTTGATCGGTGGAGCATCTGGTTGCTGGGTTTAGTTGTACGTGACGGCAAGATGAGATCTAATTTGTGTCATTTAGGCATCTTGGATGTGCATAAAGGTGAGGTACAAATAAAAAAAATCAAAAAATCAAATGAGTATGCAGATTTTGAAAGGGGATGGGCATGGGGATGGGGCTGCAAGGGGATGGGGGGCTGGAGTCTGGGAAGGAGCTAGCTAGGGAGGGGCTAGGAAGGGTCACTGTTGGGGGCATTCACCACCGGGCCGGCAGTGACATTGACCGCTGGATCGTTAGCGGAGGTAAGCACCGTGACAACGACTTTCATTAGCGTCATTTGGGGGTGATGGTCACTTAATAGTGATGTTAGAAAAATATAAATGCATTATACTACAATTTATAATGCTTATATTTTAAAAAAATTGGGGCCCCAATTTTAGTGGGCCTTGCACCAGTGGCGGATCACCGATGCGGTAGGTCATCGGAAAAAATAGTTCACAAATCGGCGGTGATGATAACTACGAGGGTAGTTAGTTGGTCACTGGAGTGATATAACTGGAACGGTAATCATGAAACCGTAATAACTAGGATGATGATAATGAAGCGGTAGTAATTGGAACAGTGGCCATTGGAGAGTTAGTAATTGTGACGGTGATCACTGGAGTGGTAGTAATTGCCTAATTGGGACGGTGATCACTGGAGCGATAGTAACCAGGATGGTGGTCACTGGAGTGGTAGTAATTGTGACAGTGGTGATTAGAGTAGTAGTAACTGAAACAGTGATTACTATGACATTGGTCACTGGCCGGTGGTAGTAACTGTCATTGGAGCGGCAATAACTAGGGCGGTGGATATTGTAACGATAATAACTGAGATGGTGGTAACTGGAGCGGTAGTAAATGAGACGGTAGTAACTTGAGCGGTAGTAATTAACTGGGATGATAGTAACTGGAGCAGTGTGTCACTATTAATTAGCCACTAAGACAACTTGTCACTAGTCAATAGAGTCACTTATAGTTAATCAGATAAATCACTTTGCCAAAAAGATAGAAATTTTGAATTGATTTCTCACAAGCCATTTTCAATTTTCACACAAATTTTAGTGTAATTTAACTATTAAAAAAAGAAATAATATTAAAATCAAAGAAGCAATAAATTGTTGGGGCTTAAAAGCTGTTCTCTTCACCTGATCTGAATGTTTCTGATCTGAATTTTTTAAGTTCTGATCTGATCTGATCTGAATTTTTCTGATCTGATCTGATCTGAATCTTTCTGATCTGATCTGAATCTTTCTGATCTGATTTGAATGTTCCTGATCTGATCTGAATGTTCCTGATCTGATCTGAATGTTCCTGATCAGATCTGAATGTTTCTGATCTGATCTGAATCCTTCTGATCTGATCTGAATTTTTCTGATCTGATTTAAATATTTCTAAAATTATAATTACAATTATAATTACTATAATTATAAATGTAATTACACATATATAATTTAAATATAATTATAATTATAATTATAATCATAATTATAAAAAATACAATTATAATTACAAACATAATTATAATAGGTATAATTATTATTATACGTATTACACTAGCTTAGTTATAAATATAGCTATAATTATAATTGTAATTATATTTATAGTTATACTTATTTCTATAATTATAATTATAATATTTATTTCTATAATTTTAATTGTAATTACTCCGTATAATATGATAATAATGAAAACAAAACTAATAACAATAACAACAACAACCATATTAGTAGTAAGAATAATAATAATCATGATAATAATAAATATCATAATAATAATAATAATAATAATAATAATAAGAATAATAATAACAATACTAATAATAATAATATCAATAATAATATAAATTATACTAATTACAATAACAACAACAAGAATAATAATAATTATAATTATTATAATTATTATAATTATTATAATTATTATTATAATTATTATTATTATAATAAAAATGATAAATCATGTCTGAACTTTTCTGATCTGATCTGAATATTCCTGATCTGATCTGAATGTTTCTGATCTGATCTGAATGTTCCTGATCTGATCTGAATGTTTCTGATCTGATATGAATCTTTTTGATCTGATATGAATCTTTCTGATCTGATCTGAATGATTCTGATCTGATCTGAATTTTTCTGATCTGATCTGATCTGAATTTTTCTGATATGATCTGATCTGAATAAAATAAGAATAAGCAATAAGTAATAAGATTAAGACGAACAGAACAGCACCTTAATTGTTAAGGAATGCCTTTGTTACGAAGTACGGCTTTGCTATTGCTCCCGACTCCCGAGCATTATGGATTTATGGCTTCGCCAACACCAAGCAGGATGATTGAGATAGCGTCTGGTATGAAATACTTAAGGGTAATTTAGTAAAGTAAATGTTTATTAGTCACATTCTCGAAACTAAAAATAAAGGTCCCTTTTATGTCCATTACCCATTTTTTAGTAATATTCATGTCAAAACCCCTAGTAATTGATTCTATACTATCTTGTCAAAGATGCCATTGGGCTTGGAAAGTACATGAATCCTTGGCATTGTTATTAGATCCAAAAACATGGATCCATGAAAGAAGCAGTCAAAAGGCCTCTTCTGTATGTAGTGGTTCAGGATCGTTTTTGTGATCCTTCATACTACGAAGAATTCGGATATCTGCATGCATTCCTGGTTTTACTGGAAGGAGCTAAGCTTAGTTCGATCATGCATCCGAACGACACAATTAGTTACAAATTAATATGGGGGACGTTTTTTTTATAGCAAATTAAATATAGTATGGCTTTGATTTGTGTATCCAAGCAAAATGATCGAGATGCATTCATTGTTCTCGATAGCAATAATAAGTTAGAAATCAAATAATTAAAGATGTCTTTTGTCCAGTTTAAGATTAATCAGACATGGTTCCTGGGAATTCTGACTGTTGGCTTGATAGGCGGCGCATGTTTCATCAGAACGGCTTTTCTCCAAACGGCAAACACTCCGGCGGCCATTTGCGAGACGGCAGACCTGGTGGCAGCTCCTGGCGGCACCGCCGACACCGGGCAACTCTTGGAAGCCATCCTCCACTACGCCACCACGCGCCTGACGACGCAACAAAGCATCCACGAGATCAGAGCGTGCAAGGACGTGCTCCAGAAACTCGGGCCCACCAACTTCCTAGTTTTCGGGCTGGGCTACGACTCGCTCATGTGGGCCTCCTTCAATCTGCACGGCACCACGGTGTTCCTGGAGGAGGACCCGAAGGTCTACGACGCAATACTCGGCGGGCCCAACCACCCGAATTTAACGGCGCACGTGGTCAAGTACTCGACCAAGCTGTCGGAAGCGGCGGAGCTGGTCCAGCATTTCAGGGAGGAGCCGGATTGCTCGGCGAGGAAGTCGTTCCTGCGCGGCAACCTCCGGTGCAGGCTGGCTCTGCACGCGCTCCCCAGCCACGTTTACGACAAGGAGTGGGACCTGATCATGATCGACGGGCCCAGGGGGTACTACGCGGAGGCGCCGGGGAGGATGGGGTCCATCTACTCGGCGGCGGTGATGGCGCGCAACAGGAAGCGATCTGGTGTGACGCACGTGTTCCTGCACGACGTGAACCGCAAAGTGGAGAAGGTGTATGCGGAGCTGTTCTTGTGTAGGAAGCATTTAGTGGATGCAGTGGGAAACCTTTGGCATTTCGAAATCCCTCCTGCTGCTGCTTCCTCCCAACTTCATACCCATTTTTGCTAACCCGCAATTTGTAAGCCTAAAATAGCTGAATTATGTGGTCGAATTGGTTTATCTACTGAATTTCCAAGCTTATATATATCCAAATGAACTAGTCATTTTCAATAATTTCATCCCAAGGGGGCTAAAAAGGAAACTTTGCACTACTTTTTCCCCAATAATAACTGATTTAGCCAAAATGATAGTAAATGAATTAGTATTGCTGAAAGCAAAGCCTTACCTAAGATCAGACACTTAATTAATCGGGAGGCCCAACTGCCACACAAAGATTTATATTAGATCACTACTGAATGATTGAACACGATCAAAACGACAACTCAAACATCAACACACCACTGAAATGTCAATTGCATTAAGATGATATACCTGGCCTGTTAGTAATACCAGCAAGTCAACAGATTTTTTTGGGATGGGAGGTTGGGAGGTACTGTAGGACTAAATTGGTTGTGTGCTTTCTCGGATGGAAATTGATTACCCTCTCGTTTTGAATTATTACTGTACCCAATTAAAGCGGGAATGCCTCTAAGTTCAAGAGCCGCATTTGGGATAGGAATATGGTACTTGATGGCAAAGTCCTCCTTGCAAGAGCTTTTATTTCTTCACAGGTAGTGTCATGAGATATGCAGTATAGCTCCCAAAAGGCTCCCGTATTGATAACGTCTTTTGCATTTTTTTCTGAATAGAGAGAAATGACTTTAAAAAATGAATGTCCCTGCACATGTTAAGGAGAGAAGAAAAACTAGCCACATTCGAAGATTACTCGTGTGATGCCGTTACTGTGTTGTGCTAAGTGGCAGAGTGCAAGCTCAACATGGCACCTAATAGGTGACACATCACTGTTGGCATTTTGTATGATCCAAGGCAGTGCCCCGTCTTCTATCAGAATGGATCTTCCGGTTTTTGTGCCTGGAATGGGTATTATTATGAAATAAATGCATATGTAGAGAGCTGATAACAATGTCATAATTTCACTGTGAGCCGTATAATGCACTAAAATGACAGAAAGCTCTTCAAATATTTCAGTTCAGAAAAAAGGAAAACCGAAAAAGGAGAAGAATTCAAAACTTTCATGGACAAAGTAGTTATCTCATACTCGATCCACTTGCAATGTCATATGAGACAATCGACTTTTCAGGATGTTCACTTCTTCTTTGAGCCTCTTCCTCTCGCAGTCTGTTCTTCCAGAACTTTTTGGAGGTTACAACATCACAACTCTGACCTACTAGCTACACAAGTAATTGAATATGTTTATCAGTCTGATCCTATGAAAAAGCAAATGCAATACATGAAATCCATTTATTCACGTACTTCGGGTTCTGAAAGCTTCATAACTGATCTTTGAGCTTTGGTTTCCAGTTGTACTGCTTTTCTTATTGTAATTTCATCATGTAGCAATCTCTTCAGCTCAGTTACTTCCTCCGAACAGAATCCCTTTTGGCAATGCAGGAAAGCAATTTAGGGCATCTCAAACTAAGTACAGAAGAACAGCAGATAAATTTGTTTCTGATCAGAAAAGTGAAACTGATATAGGGGAGGGAAAGGACACCGAATGTACATGAACATTGGTTTCAAAAGGGTATCTTAACTAGCAAGACACAAGTTTTTAGGCTTAAGGCAGCAAAAATAAAATGTTACCAGTAGCATTCATGTGTTCTTTTATGAATGAAACTAATATAATTGATGCTAACAGGGCCGTCTAGAGCAATTTTGAGGCCCTAGACAACCAAATAATACTTCGTATTTAATTATGAGATACAACGTACTCACGTCTCACTAACACTAGGTTATGATAAAGTTTTACAATTATTAAGAAAAGCTAGTTTATGTGGTTGATATTGAAGTGATAAAGTAAGTATGATTTAGAACCACACAAATTTTGTCAAATTTGATATGTGACATTCTTAATGCATAGGTTGAAAACGAAAGATGAGACAATTTTAGCGGAGTAGAGAGAGTATAACTTCAATATATTTCTTAGTAAAAAAATACAAAACTATAATAAGAAACAAATAGGAATGACATAGCCAGAAAGAAATATTAACGCGGCTTGGTTAGTTTTTTCCTGATGAACTTTTACACAATCTTCTAACATATAAAAATATATAACTATTTTACAAATTGGGGGAGGATTGGGGCCTAAAAATTTAAAGGACATCCTAATTTAGACATTTCAACTAAATGTTTTCACTTTATATTTTAGAGAACAATTAACCCTCTTAAAGGCCTGTTTGGATGGAGTGTTTGGAAGTATTAGTAATGGAAGTGTTAGTAAGTGTTAGTAAGGGCTCGGAAGGGAAGGGAAGTGTAAGTGTTAGACATAATTTTACCTTGTTTGGGAGAGTCAAATGAATGAAGTGTTAATAATGGAAGTGTTAATAATTTTACCTTGAGGCAAAAGAAACGAGTAAAGAGAAGAGATGAAAAAACAAACCATAAGACCCGTGGGAAAGACATTCGAAGTGAAATGTCGAAGCATTTTATGTTTTTCGGGTAAATGAGAAGGGTAATAATTGTCCAACACCTCAAAACACTCCAAATCGGGGTGTTAAAAAAAATGGACAATTGAGGTGTTGGGAAGGTTATTATTAACACTTCCTAACCATTACTAACACTTCTTAACACCTCTGGATTTTTCTCCCAAACAAGTGTTAGCATCAACACTTACTAACACTTCCATTACTAACACCCATCAACACTCAATCCAAACAGGCCGTAAGTGACAATTTGATAATAAATTATTAAAAATAATACATTTATAACTCATTATATTATATACGTACACATCAAAACTATCTCTCTAAATATACTTGAATTGGGATATTAAATTATTGTCTATGCATATGCATTATAGTTAACACAATCATGATTATTAAAGTTATAGTCACTAAAGTATAAAAAGACATATTGTATTCACTCTTATTTAGATCTATATTTGTCATTATTTTCTTATATATCACCGAACATGATTAATCTTGATAATTTGTTTTTTTGCATCAACGTATCTTTTGTTCTACACTAATTTTTAAGTATTTTAATTAATTTAATTAAAGATTTAAGATATATATAATATTATTATTTTTTAAAATGGAGGCCTAGACAAATGTCTAGGCTACCTCCCCCATGGCCGGCCCAGGATGTTAACAGTCTCTCGAAAAATTCATTTTGCTCCCTCAGTGATTTTGTCCTGAAAAACATCAAGTAACCTGCATTATGGATAGTGGCGGAGTCAGAAAAATGGGTTAGGGGGGTCGAAAATCAATTATGTATAAAATGAAAATGGTAGATCGTTTTGAGATAATGTCCGAGTTGAATGTTTCATTTGTAGTTTAGATAAATAGGCATTCATAAGCAATAAGATAGATTGTCTTTGCTCTGTTTCTGAATCATGTCACGTAAGTAATGAATTTATTATATGTTTTTTTTAAAATTTGAAAAAATAATCAATATTATGCATCAAATTTTCCTTATTTTACGTTTAGAAGGTGCTGATTTTACAGAAGTCATAACTTTTTACTCGTAATGAGTTACGGGGGCCATAATATATCAAATCGAAGATATTTCAGAGCTCTATACACTCAAACTTTCAGCGGGTCGGCTGACCGCCCTGACCCCCTTGGCTCCGCCCCTGAATATGGACCTTATGACAAATAGGAAAAAGGCATCTGACATGGTCAAGTATTACGTCTTATCTCTTTCACTCCATTTTGTACCATTTTATGTTCTTCTGTAAGAAAAAGAGGAAAATAAGAATGAAAAGCACACAATTATAGTGACTTAAATACAAGCAACCTCTCCAATACTCCATTGCTTTGGTGATGTTGTTTACTAATCTTTTCTTTCAGCTTCTTGATTGATTCCATATAATGCATCTGACATTTCAGTTTCTCCTCCTTCAAGTTCAAATATGAAATGTCTAATTAACCAAAAAATAGGAGAGTTGAGATAAAGTCCAACTTGTATAAGACACCACAGCCTAAATAAATAAACAATCAATAGACACAATGATTGTTTATATAGGTAGTTATGATTGGAGTTGACATATGATAAGCACTATAGTTACCTATATTTTATATAGGTAGTTATAGTTATTTGTACAAAAATACAAAGAGAAATAGGTAAAAATCCCAAATTGAGCAAAACACGTAAAGGCGGTCAGGAATGAAGAAACTAGAGGCAACAAGTCAAGAGGACCAAGAATCAGCACTTCGGGGGCAACTAAGGGCATCAAAACAGAGTAAACAGTCAAAATATACAAAATTTGGGGAGAATCAACGCAGGCCTGTCCTTGTAACCGCCGCGTGTAGAAGAGCTGAGAGCAAATCGGCGCCGGTTGGCCTTATAACCGGCGTTAGTTAAGTTCTTACTACGCGGGAGATTCCAGTGTCGAAGGTGAACCGGTGTTGGTCAGTCCGGCAACCCGCGCCGATTTGTTCAATTCATGTAAAAAACAATGAGATGTGCAGCCCATTCTTGATGGGAAAAACTCACCTTCTCAATGAGCCGATAAAATATTGTTTCTATGCCTGATTCTTGGGTTGGAATAGTTGGGTCAGTTGTACATACACCCGAATGTATGAAATAGGGACCGAGTGTCTCCCAAAAAAGTTCAAATAGTTAAAAGTTCAAATATCTACATGTTTGATTCATAGTTTTATGAGGTTTTTCTTACTAATAAAAAAATCATGAATAAAAATATGACTTGATAACTATTATTGACTATAATTATATATAAAATTTACATCATATTAACTTGTCAAGGTCTAATATTAATGAAATTCTTTTATTTAATACTACTTCCGTTCCAGGGACAAGTTCCCACTTTCCTTTTTTGGCAGTCCCAACAAAACGTTTCCATTTCCCTAAATGGAAAGTTATCCTACATCAAAACACTGTCAAACAGTGTCGAAACAATGCCAAACAGTAAAATTTACCCTTCAGTAACTTTATTTCCTTAATATGTGTGAAAGTCAAGCCGGGAACTTCTGCCTGAGACGGATGGAGCAATACTTTGTATACATTTTGTATTTTACTTTTTAAAAAATAATAACCGGTTTTCCGGGTGTTGATCGGACTCGCCCTTACCCGGTCACTTTTCCCGGTCGCCGTCCTGATTTTGAGAACACAGGTGGAAACAAGAAATTTTGGAAGGACGCAATGGCAAGCAGAAACAACAACGTGACCGCCACCAGCCTCCTCAACAGTACTGCCACAAGACTTTCTCCAGATTTATCTTCGGATTCCATCCGTCTGCTCGATGACTTCATGAGATCCATCGGAGTTTACGGGACTACCTTTCCGCCTGAATACCAGGCCAGAGACGCTTTCTCTCGCCTTACTCGCGGTGTCCTCAATGTCCAGCACATCCACCCTGGGAAACTCACATGCCTGCTCGTCGTCAAACCTGCTATCATGGTAAATTCGATTGAAATGGGCCGGCTTGCTTTTCTTCTGATTTTTGTTCCCGATTGATGGCTTCTTTTCGTTTTTGAAAGTATTCTTATCTGTCTCTCAGATTTGGTTTTGGTGGAGATTGCCAAAGTAATCCATCGACGATATTGTTCTTCACTCTTAGCTGTTATGTGACTTACGTTCATGGGAAACTCCCAATTTTGGAAATTTATAGAAACATGAGCACAAGCTGTTAAACCCCCCGCCCCCAATCTTTATAGTAATAATAATTTAAAGGAAAACTATTTGAGGCAGCAGTGGGAAACTTAGGGTAGTAGTACCTACTGAGAAGTGGCTAGATGATTATCTGATCAATCACTATGGGAGTGTTTGCAATTGCTTCAACTTTAAAAAAGTGATTTTTTAAAGTGATTTTTGGAAAAGTGATTAATAGTAAAAGTTGGTAGTGTTTGAGAAAAAAGTGATTCTGGAAAAGTAAAAGTTTGTAGTGTTTGGTAAAATAAGTACTTTTTGTGTAAAGAAAAAGTGAGAAGCAGTTTAAAGCACCCTTCTACCTGCTTCCAGCTTTTAGCTTTTAAGTGATTAATTTAAGCAGAAGCTGTCATTTGAAAACACTCTTTTCAACTTTTTTTAAGCCAAAAGCTGAAAAGCGCCTTTTTTAAGCAAACCCAAACACTCCTTATGTATGCTGAAAAGTTCATGTGGACTCCCAGGATACATTGAACTACATAAAAATTTGAGACATAGAAGCATTAATCCAAATTTGCGTTGGAAGCCAATAGGGGCTTGTTCTTCTTACCTGCAGAATAATCCATCCGAATAAGTAGAAGTAGCATTTCACTAACTTGATTGGTTGAAATAGATTTTACCTTTTTACTTTTAAGAAAATTCACTCGATTAAGTCATACCAGCAGAATAACCCTTTAGCCTTATGTACACATCAAGTTGACAGATTCTGCCCAATTTTATTGGGATGTAGAGTTCATGTAGTTCGGAACAGTGCATCACATGTTTTTCTCTAATCACTACACATCTTAACTTAATGCATTTTCAGAATGGTTTTGGTGGGATGCACGGGGGCGCTGTTGGTGCAATAGCTGAGAGAGTGGCGATTGCTTGTGCTAGAACAGTTGTGGGAAAGGACAGAGAGCTATTTCTTGGAGACTTAAGCATCTCTTACCTCTCAGCTGCTCCTCTTAATGTTAGTCTTTTTTCTTTGATTCAGATACAGTTTTGTCCTCAACTAGAGTTGTACAAACACACACCATATTATGATGAGTTTTATATATACGCATTGGAAGTTCTCACTGTGTTTGCAGGCAGAAGTGATGGTTCATGGATCTGTAGTTAGGAGTGGAAGAAGTATAACTGTAGTAGCTACGGAATTTAAACTGAAGGACTCTGATAAATTGGTTTACATTTCTCGTGCAACTTTGTATCATACACCAGCTGCAAGTTTGTGAGCGGGCATGCCTTCCTGTTTTATTGATACACCAGCTGCAACTTTGCTCAAACAGGTTAACCTTGCTACAACACACTGGTGTTGCATCCAGTTTCGAGGGCATGCCTTCCTGTTTTATTGATATTCAATTTTACCATTTTGGTTACTTTTTGGTACATATGACTCTTTCCATCCCATAACTTCATGGCTTCATGCTTCATTTTCGAGATACCCAAAATAAAGAGTTGTGCGGTTAATATTAGAAAAGTATTTATTTTCTTTCTGAATAAACCTCAACATCACATATTTATTTTATTCTTAATAGTTGTGCCAAAAGTAAATGGGGAGACAATAACTGGATGGGTAATGCAAAAGGCACCAGCGTACACATCTATTTATTACTTTATTACTTTGCATAGTTTGCATAGAGCTTTAAAAATGTTGTATGAGATGAGAAAGTTTCAGTGGTAAGCGCCTATGTATTACAAGTGAGGTTAGAATCATACTCAAGTGATGGGTTATGGAACCCGGGTCTAGAATGAAGCTAGAAGACCTCACCTTGTGAACTATAAATGTGGATTCAATAGTATCCAAGTTGGCTATTTTTTTTTTTGCGGAAAAAAAATGGTAAGGTTATTCGTGGTAAGAGTGTACTCAACAAAGGTTTAAAAACAAGACTAAATTGTGATTCAGGTGTATACATTTTAGATAAAGGTTAAGGTTTGATCACATAATAAGCATATAATTGAGCAACTGCTTCAACATTATAAAGTACAATGATTTTGAGAACAAGATTAACCTCACAATGTGTACGAGCAAGCGAACAACCCCTTGCCTATGCCAATGTGTGTGGAAAATTGTTCAAGAACAATTTAAACCTCTACTGAATTATTCTTCATATCAATATAAATCAAGTGACATTTTCAGGTTAGAAAAGATAACTAGTTAATTTACAACACAAATTATATAAATATCATACTTTCAATTTTCAAACTTTTAAAATCAAAACGCTAGATAATAGGAACTCTTATTCACCGATCTCAAGTCACTAAAGAAAATTAGTCATAATTCATAATTAGAACACTACAATCGAAAGAGTAAGATTTACTTGTCATTAATTGAAAGAATGAAATCATTGATGATTCTCCAAAACATCTTGTTCCCAAGCTAATTCTTACGAAAACCACAACTGAAAATCTTGATTATGCAATTGAGGGTCATCATTCACTTTAAACGAAGAGCTAAGTTGGGTTTTAAGTAAAAATTACATGGGTGTGCCGCACGGACTATACACATGTCCGTGTTTGAGAAGTTGTTGACAGACACACAAATTACACGATTGTGCGCGTGGTAGAATGTTTGAAAATTATAATTTTGCATTTGCACCAGGTCTTGTCCTGACATTTTATGAACCTGTGACAATAAATGTAGAGTAAGCATTTCTAATAATGTGTAAATGTTTATGATAATTTTTGTTGTAAAAAATCTGAAAGTAAAATAAAATAATTTTGTCATCCAAATACGAGTAACACATCAAAGAAACTAATAAAATACATGTAAGTACTATTTGATAAGTGACATCGGGTTGAGGCTACTATGTACTTCAACCGGCTGAATGAAACAAATAGTACAACTATTATTTACAATAAATAATTTCACATTAGGAAAAGACGTGAAAGATATATCGTATAAGTAGTAATTTTTTCATATCACAATTTGAGTAGACTAAAACGAACTACAAGTTTCTAAATTCTGGATACTATAATTCAAATGTCCAATACCCCAATCTTTCTCATACACGAGAGAACCAAAGAAAATTAGCAAAATACTATCAATTAATCATGAGTATGCATAAAAAAAGCTTATCATAATATGAACATTAATGCACTAACCATTAATGAACCAAAAGAAATGCTGAAATATATTCTCAGAAAATTATGACGTGAATGCTTCAACATTTTAGACTTGTAGCGTGTATATGTTGTTGAATAATGAATTGGAATAATGAATTGAAAGTGTCAAATCGACTGATTGTCGTTTGTGCTTGGCGTTGTGATACATGAGTCAATTGTCGTTTGCAAGACAAGAATAGAGGTTTAGGACGTTAGGAGAGCGAAAAATGTAAAGTTTCAAAAACATTATGAGTCCGTTTCAAAACGTCACTTCCATCTTATCAACTTTTACTCTTTTACATACACCTAGTTTTTATGTTTTTTTTTACTTCACGCGCTGAATTGTGTAATAACAAAAATAACTAAGGTTGGAGACTTAGAGTTACTGTTCTGGCTGAATTGACTAAAATTACTGTAGATGATAATTTAAACTATTTTTGTATACTGTTTTCTTTTTATTATTAATGAAATATATTTAATACTCCCTCGTCCCTCCATTCCATAAACAAGTTCTCGTTGCTGTTTACAAGGTTTGAATGACGAAAAAGCAATTCGATCCCTGTTCACACCCAGATTATTTTTAGTAAATAAAATTTATATATTCAGAAACTTCATTAAAACCGCTACAAAGTCTGATAAAAAAAATTAAGTTTGATAAAAATTTGATATATAAAGTAAAAGATTAAGAGTATTTAATTTTTCCAGGAACTTGATTCCGGGACGGAAGTAGTATAATTTTTCCATAATTCAACAAACTACTTCAACCTATGTCTTTCAGGTTTGCCAAATCCAACATTGTCCGTATTCAAGAACACTTTTTGCTTAATAGATACTTAAACTTCACACCTCATTTAATCCTGCTCAAGAATAGAGCAAGAAAAAGACGATGAACACCAGGGATCGAGGGAGGAGATCAAGAAAAAGAATGGGGAAGCAGAGAGGGTGGATGTTAAATTGATTTTTGTAGTAGTATTTCACTATTTCCACTCACCAAACTTACGTAAGTTATCATTTCTTAAACTCCTTCGATAACATATCTCATCTAGTCTAGCTTATAATTACTCCAACTAACCCATTCAACCTTTTGTTTGGTGTGCGTGAATGCAGCATGATATTAAAACTGCTTCTGCATCACATAATCTACTTTTTTTTTAATCACAAAATCTACTATATCACACATGGATTAGATAATTATTTAACTCCCCCCCCCCCCCACATTACTAACATTTCTTAAGTCCAGTGGCTTATGAAATCTAATACGCAGTACTACTTTTACCCACCTAACCTACCTAGCTTATTAGCCGGATTAGCTTTCCTAGAGGCCGTTTGGCAACACAGTTATCAGGCTTATCAGCCAACTTTTTCACCAAACATGTAACTTTTGCTTTTGCATGTTGAATTGTGTAATAAGCAGAAAAAGTAAGATTAAAGTTACTTTTCGGGTATATTGGCTGAAATTACTGTAGATAATAATGTTAGCTATTTTTACTTATAATTTTTTCTTTATTTTATTAATAAAATATTTTTTAAAAATAATTTTTTCTTGAATCAGCAGAATCAGCCAATGAAGTCACTTCAGCCATAATTTCATAAATTTCAGCATAATCAGCCAAATCAGCCAATTTTTGTGCTACAAAACGGGTTCCTAATGTTTACAATTAATTTCACAAATAAAGTTGAATTATACTCTTTGTCATAAAATATACTCTATTCCCTTTATGTTTCCCCTTTTTGTATTTCTTTCTGAAATTTTATTTATGTTTCCACTAATCAAAGCCTACCATGATGTGGCAATGCAGTGGCCCAAGGCCAACCTCTAATTAGGGGTCGACCGGGACAGGGCGGGGTAATACCAGTCTTGGGACCGGTCGGTCCCAGTTCAAAATCGGAACCGGCAGGTGGGCAGGGGACGGAGGGTTGTGTATGCTGCATAAAAAGTCTCCTTAATAAGAGGAACGAATGGTTCAGTCTCATGGCTAAGCCAAGCGCCCAGTGCAGGATACCCCCTTGCCATTAAGGAAATGTTTCAGTTCCACTGGCCTCCTCCATGCATACTAGGCCAGAGCTCGAACAGTCGAACTCCACATGACTGTTCTCAGAGTCGAGCATATATTTTGATATCATGTACGGTGAAGTACTGAAGTAGTTCTTTGAACTTAAATTGAATGGAAACATCTATATCAGTTCAGATTGTTCACGTGATTGCAAATTTTATTTTAGATGTACGAAAATAAACAAGATGGTGATTCTGAGATGATTTATGAGTATAGGGCGATATAGAAAATGAATCCATAATAATGCCTCAAGAGAAAATTGCATCAACAAATGTCTCTGCATCAAATGGTTGGAGGTCATCTATGCCTTCACCAACACCTACGAACTTTACAGGAATGCCAAGCTCATCTACTACACTGACCTGCAAGCAGAAACCCATCATAATTCTTTATTAAGTGTATCTACGCTTTCCCATAGAGCAAAGTGAATGGACAGTGGACTGAGACTGTACCACACAACCACCTCTAGCAGAACCATCTAGTTTGGTCAATATTAAGCCAGTCACTCCAACAACCTGGCATTCATTGGAAGACAAGTCCAACAATCAATCTTTAAAAGGAGACCTTTTATGCAGTTTACACATCTCTACCATGCAAGTATGTAACAACAAAGGCAAGGGAGACAGTGAAATTTTCCACAAGAAAATATACTATTTTATTAAATATAAACTAAACCGACAAACGGTACACGCTAAACAAGAGTATTAATACTTGAGGTTCCAATTTAATATATCAATATAATAGGAGTAGTTGAACGTCACTGATGCCCTAAAACTTCTGGTGTACTTTTCTACATATAAATTGCTCAAGTCATGGCTATGGATCAGGTTGATTTTATGCAATATAAAGACAAGAGGCCCCACATCGAAAAGTCTACTTGGTCCAATATCTTCAAAAGGAGGTTCAAAGTAGCACGACAGCACATATGGAGGCTATTAGGCTAATATAAACAGATCAAAAAATTGTTCTTATAAAAAACGACAAGTTCAGAACGATTACCTCATTGAACTCTCTTGCTTGTGGTAGCATATTTAAACCTGTTGTTCCATCCAACACTAGCAAAATTTCCTAAGATCAAAATGTAATATTTCTCTATTAACGCTTTGAGAAAAGAAAATTTCCATTTGAACTTCACTTTTAGCATAAATGCTGCCTCGATTCAAATTTGTAGTCAACAATGATGAAACAACATATGCAACATAAAAGAATAGGAATGATGAAGAGCTCAATGACATTAGTAACTCATTCAAGCAACATATGCATGCTGAAATTAATTTATTCATTAAAAAGAATAAAATACACTTCTATAATAGGAATGCAATTTTTTAGCTTACATTTGGTGCACCTGGAATAATTTTGCTAATAGTTTTCTTGCACGCAACAAGTTCTTCCATCAAGTTATAGTTAGTGTGCAAACCTGCCCAAAGAGTAAATATCTTACTGATTATTCAACAAAGTTCAAGTCAGAAAATAATTGTGCCTGACTTCAACTTACGTCCAGATGTGTCGCATAAAACAACGTCAATGCCTTGTTCTTTCCCTCTTTTAACAGCCTGTGAAATAACTATGCAGGAAGAACATCAAAATCATATCTTAGAAATTATTACTAAATACCAGACCATTCTTGTTTCTAAATTAGTACCTGATGATGCCTTGGTTTTCTCTTTTTCAGCAACAACAATATCACATCCTGTCCTCTCAGCCCAAATCTCCAGCTGATCACTAGCAGCCGCTCTGAATGTATCACCAGCTGCCAATAGTATCTGCCAATAACTCCAAAGGTGAAAAAAATGAAAAAACAAGTCTACGAGAGGTTCGTTTCCACAACGATGAGGAGAAAATGTCAGATATATTGACAGTAACCTAATGCCTCCTGTCTAGAAAAAAGAAAAGGAAAGTAACCTTTGCTCCCTCATTCTTCAATCTGTTGGCCAACTTTCCTGCAACAAAAAGGAAAAAAGAAACTTCAACCTCCATTATCTCCATGCCAACCTTTGGAGTATATTTGGATTCGAAAAATGGTAAGGAAAGGGAAAAAATGCCAAAGGAAGACATTTTCTTGGGTAGGGTTTGACCACCAAGAATGCAAAACAAATTAAATATGGTTATATGTTTTCTAAAGTTTCTACGTATGTTCAGATTTATTAGTCCTTTATGTAATAAAAAATATAAATGAAACGGGTTTGAACAAATATGAAAGATATATTTATTGAGTTTAAACAAATGTTATATTTTCCCTCACCTTTTCTTTCCTTCTCCATTTCCTTTACATTTTCCTGTCTCTTCTTTAACCCTAGCATTTCCGAGTTCAAAATGGACCCTTAAACTTGGTGATAAAGGAAAAAATAAATTATCCAACTTTTATTATTAATGCATCTTTCAAGAGTATCTACTATGTAGTGAGGACTGAGGACTAAAGAACCTTTTAAAAGTGTCTATTTTTTTATACATATAAAAGTGTCTATTATGAACTGTAAAACTAAGGAATCTTTCAAACCTTAATTATATCATTCCTAGTAAAATACAATTGTGCACCACATTGAGAAGTGAGAACAATACGGCTAGGCCCTTGAGAAACATAAGGTGAACACAAAAGTTTTCTTACCAAGGGATGTTGTCTTCCCACCTCCATTAACACCCACAATCATGACTACAGCAGGTTTCCTGTTCAACTGTGATAATAAAGCTTCAAATCTAAAACCATTGAAAACCAAAAAGGGCAAAGACTATGATGCAGTTTATACCTGAATCCTAGCCGGAGCTCTGTTTTAGGTGCCTTAGCAAGAAGTTCCAAGATACCCCTCTTTAATGCATCCTATACACCACAGTCCACAAAGATATCTTTCACCATGAAATTTATTCCTGATTACCCCAGAAAAAATTTAACATTACAGACATGGTTTAAAAGGCATGCAAGGCTTACGCCTCTGAGGCACAAGGTGTGAAGAAAAAGCCTCAAAGTTATCAACACTTAAGCCTCAATTTCACACAGAAAAATATAGAGTCTTGCCCTCTCTATTTATTTATTGTTATTTCTTTCCTTTCTAAACACAGATGACAGGACCCTACTGTTCTTTCTTTCTTCATCCCTTTAGACGCAATACTGAGAGCATGCCTCTTTATTTTTCTATCTTTAATAATACCCGAGCAGTACAGCATCCACTAGTTTCTCATCTATATCTCTCTGTAACTGATCTTCTTTCTGTTGTCCTATTTTTTACTGCTTTTCTCCTTTCTACTAAACCCCTATCTCTCTCCCTGTTTATTCTCCTCTTGTCTTTCTCTGTAAATAATCTTTTCCCCTTCCTAAGTAGCTTGTTAACCGGCATAGATGAAGACATTGAAACTCGTGAATCTCGTGATATAAAAAGAGATGGAATTAATCATAAAGTTACATATTTAGATAGGGAAATTGCCCTAAATAGGAGTAAATAACTTTGACGATTTCAAAATAGGACTACTATGTTTTTCTTCCTGAAATAGGAGTCGTTACTGTCATGATTGAAAAATACTGTCATGATTGAAAAATACTGTCATTAATTATAATAAATACTACCACATTGAATACACAGTACTACAACTATTTGGCAGTCATGACTAAAAGATGGCAATTAATATTGTCATCTTACTCCTATTTCAGGAAGAAAAACATAGCAGTCTTGTTTTGGAATTTCAAATCCTATTTAGTTTTATTTTGAGAAATATCCCATTTAGATAATAATGCAATGGGTAATGCTCATAGTTTTGAAGATTAGTGGGTAGAACCTTAAAATCTGAAGGCTTAAACTTTTATTATAGCTGGATATGCATATTTTATGCTTTCATGACTTATTAACTTACTGTTTTGTCCTTTTCTGAGCAATACTCTGTGCTTTTTTTATTTCAACATATCAAGTTCTTTTATCATAGAACTATCATTATGAATTCTCGATATTATACTATTTATTACCCCCTCTGTCCCATTATTTTCTAGCCACTTTCCTTTTTGGGATGTCCCAAAATTTTCTTTTCATTTCCTTTCAAAAAATGCTTTCTGTGGTCAACGCCCTTCTACCTTTTTCTACATCAACCACAACAATACATTTTCACTTATCAATAACCATGTCAATTCAAAGTGGGAAGAAAATTTTGGGACAGTGGTAATATTGTTATATTTATATTTTTGAGGCTTACGCTTCGCAAGACAGAGGCAGACCTCCTCAAGGACCGAGTTCACCTTTCAAATCCTAGATTATGCCACACTTTGCCTCAACTTCTCAAGGCTTTCGCCTTGAGACCCGATTGTGCCTTTTAGGGGTCTGATTACAGATGTTAATAGATGATAGTACGTACTGTCACTTCTTCCTTGCTCATCATGTATGACGAAGAACTCATTTTTTCTTTGCAAAAGAAGAACTCGGGTTTATGTTTTGGAAATTTATAAAGAAGGATAAATAAACATATAGGAACTCAAAATGAAAACCTCCGGGCACTTACTTTGATCTCACTTCCTGTTTTTAGCCTGCCAGCATATATATCATCTCTCAAACTCTCAACGATCTTTATAGTAATCCTAGGCCCAAAATCAGATACCAACAAAGCCTACAACCATAAGGTTAAAAAATCAACTCTCAAGGCCTCCATGGCATATGAATTCAACAAAAATGCAGTTAATGCGTTTTGTGTGTTTGTGTGTGTGTATTTCGGGCCTTCTTTTATCCGCTACATGAAGCTAAGTTGCATCACTTGTAGCTGAGCAGCGTAAAAGATAGCCAGAGATAAACCCTAGTAAATAACAAATGACATGAATCCGCATAAAGGCATTTCTTTTACGGAGTATTAAACAAGAAAAGTTCGTTTCCTCGATCAACAAAACTTTCTGAGAAAACAGACTGATATTTTTAGTGGACCTCTTCCAGCTCATCCAGAACGCGATCGGTGTCGGAGAGGTTCCAGTAAAGAAGGAGCTCGTCTATGACGGCCAATTTATTCCTAGTTTTGGTAAATCCGGAGAATAGTTTCTCGACGTCATTCTTCGCCTTTTCTTTGATCAGTCTTCCAAGCTTTCCGAAGAACCCAGTCTGACCCGCGGAGCATTTGAAGCGAGATCGGCGTGGCCAGTTAGATATCGGTAGATTGACGAAATTATCAGAGACGGAACTCAATAGCGTTGGTGACGTTCTGCAAGGGAGTTGCGGGAGGGATAAAGAAGATGGAAGAGAAGCCATTTGCCTAGCTTGCTAAGCAATTGGATAAGTGGAACAGATGAACCGATGAAGTCTGGTGAGAGACGTAGCAGAAATTGAATAATTCTGCTGCAAAAACAACCTGAATCTATTAAATTACAAAATAATTTATATTTAAATTATTTTCTATTAAAAAAGTTATATGAAATTATAGTTAGAATGATTTTCTGTAATAATTTTAGTTAATTCAATTAGAAAAATCATTACAATTAAACTTATTTTTATTACTAGTAACTGTCATTCGTTATTTTTATTACATGTTTAGTCAGAAAAATTGATTTATGAATTAAAAATGAGACCTATTAATCACACGGAGATGGTCCATTCAAATCAACTCCCATGCGTAAGGCAAAGCAATGTAAACTAGAATAGACCTAAATTATTTGTTTTTGCATTGAAGATTACATCTTTTCACAAACGGAGTGAGGTGGATGACATTTTTTGGCAACCCACCTCTTCATTGGAGATGCCCTAAATGGGCTTCAATTGTCCTATATATATAGGAGCACAAACTAAAATGTTTTTACTCATTGCTCTCTAGCTATGAAGCACGGATACTTCACTAGGGTAGCGTATCGGCGTATCCGATACGTTCCCGTATCCGATACTCTAGGATACCCGTACCGTACGTTCCCGGGCCGTATCTGCAATTTTTAAAAGTTTCCACTTTTTTTTGTAATTTTTTGAAAGTTTCCGATACTCGTATCTTGACGGATACCCGTACCAATTTTTTTAAAAAAAAAAATCCCAAAATTTACTTGATAAAATTCTAAAAAAAATGAAAATCTAAAACTACATTTTACTTGGTAATCAAATAAAGGGCCTATATGGCTATATCCGAATTAAGTCATTAACTCATACTCCGAATTGGGTACTTGCACTTTTAATTTTAAGATTGTAGTTGTTTCACTTATTTCTCGTTTTAAATTAATGACTTATTGACTACATTTATATTTCGAGATACACTAGTGTATATGAGAAATATTATGAATTTATTACCAAGTATCTTGAAAAAGGAAAATGTTTCAATGCAATGAATGGGTAGACATCATAGCATATTATATGTATGTATGTGTGTGTGTGTGTATATATATATATATATATATATATATTCAAAAAAAATCTATTTTTAATATTTATAAATAGACCCCTATAACTTTTAATATTTGTAAATACACCCCCATAACTTTTAATATTTATAAATATGGCCCCGTATCCGTATCCTACTTTTTTTGGTTTTGACGTATCCCCGTACCCGTTTCCGCGTTTCCGCGTTTCCGCGTACCGGTATCGGTGCTACATAGCTCTCTAGTTTTTTTGGAAAATAAATTTACTTTAACATTTTGATGTTAGATTGCTAAAGTTTTTTGGATAGTTTTTTCAAACTAAGAGGAAACGTAGTATAAAATCGGAAAATTGAAATATTATGTTTTTTAAATAAGAGTAATTATTAGATTTCTCTCTCTAGGTTTGGCTCTCGGCGCCGCTAGGGTAGCTTCGTGTTGTTTCCGTGTTCGGCTCGGGCGAAGTACGGCGGAAGGCGACGGTCATCGTGGAGAACGAAGATTGATACGCAGCAGAGTGTGCATCGAACGGGGTCTCCTCGTCTGGTTTCGAGATAGCTAGACTTTTGAACGAATGGAAGAGGTGGTGCATCAATACAAAAGGATGGCTATAGGAGAAGAAAACAACCATCTGAATTTTGATGATGAGGAGAAGGGAGCTCTTGAGTCAACTGCAAAGGGGGGCTGAATTTCCGGTAGTGGGAGTGATTCTCACGGATCGGAAAATCAGGGCTCAGGTTGTAAAGGATTTGTTTACTTCAATTTGGCGACCGGGCAAAGGTATGTCTGTCCAAGAGATAGACGATAAGAGGTATTTGTTTACTTTTTATCATGTTGTGGATATGAATCGGGTTCTAGAAGATGGCCCTTGGTTGTTTGAAAGAAATTTATTATTGCTTAATGTGGTTGGTCCATATGATATTCTTCATAAGATTATTTTGTTTGAAACAGAGTTCTGGGTGCAAGTGTACAATGTTCCGTATAGCTTTATGAATGTAGGTACTGCTAGAAGAGTGGGAAACTTTATTGGGGAGTTTATTAGATTTGATGAGAGTCACTTTAAGGAAAAAATGGGAATCTTATTTGAGGATTAGGGTGCGGTTGGATGTGAGGAAGCCCCTAAAGAAGAGATCTACCCTTACGAGAGGGGGTATTGGACACTGGGTGGATTTTAAATACGAAAAATTACCTAATTTCTGTTTCATTTGTGGGGTGATTGGGCATTCTGCGAATTTTTGTCCCTTGAAATATGAGGATGATATAGCTTTGGAGAAATCCTTTGGGGTAGAACTTCGAGCAAGTGGGGGGGACTAGTCCCATAAGGGGCAATAAGTTGCTAATGGAAAAACTGTCGGGCCCAAAGCAACAGTGGAGGACAGATCAAGGGAGTGAAGGTACTGGGGAACATAGAAGAAGGGAGGCTACAACTGGTACAGAAGAACCAGTGGACCAGAAACGCAGAAGAATATGGGAAGAACACGCACAGGAGGACTCAGCAGGTGAGAAGATGGTTCTGGATAAAACAAAAAACGGGGAGGCGGCGGGTCCGGGCTCCTAGACCCGCCGGTCATGCGAGTAATGTTGCTGCTGAGGAAGACGAACTTTGGTTTTATTTCATTGCTGTTTTGCATTTTAATTTCCACGCAGAGATTGTTGTTTTTGGTTTTTATTTTCTTTGGTACTGTAAGACTCTTACATTAGGATTGGGTGATGAGAGTTTTGCGGTAACCATTATTAGCTCAATTATACCCAATTTCGGATCAACGAGTTATATTGCTTTGTCAAAGGTGATTAACTCTGAGTCTGGCCCAAGGGCGGAGGGTTACTTGTGGTTCTTTGGTCATTTTAACCCATATCTGAATGTTTTGATTTTAATTTAAGCTCCCTTCTTCCAAAAAAATAAGAGTAATTATTATCATTTTAAAATTATACCGACAACGTATTTCACATTATCAGATATTAATTTGGTAGTATTAGCATTTGACACTATTTCTGATCATGCCAATAATCAGCATTTTAAAAATTGGCCTAGTCGGTGACCTCGACTCTAGACGCCCCTCAACCTCACCTTGCATATAGCGAGTTTTAGAACAAAGTATTTAGATCAATCGATATCACTTTTCAATTTCAAATTTATGTACAAATGTTATCTTGTGCACATTTGGTTTTGCAACTTCAATACAGTTTTTGGTGTATCTTCGAAATATATGAAGGATAATTAGAGCGGATCTAGAATTTCCCGTTCCGTATCGAAGAGCCATCTCGAACTGTACCAGAACCGAAAGAATTGAAAAATATAATACCAGACTAGACTGTACCGATTTTTTCTATAATATGGTGCTGTACCGATTCTTAAGTGAGAACTGCTCTGGAACCGTCCCAGAACTGTATTGAATAGAACTGTGCTGAATTGCCCCGAAAAATCGATAGTACTACCTTCGTTCTTTAATAAGTGCAACATGTTAAATTTTACACTATTCACACGTTGTACTTTGACTACGTTTAATTAAATAATGTATTAATATATTTTCTTGAAAAAAATATTGTTAAATTTGTCTCATTTTAAATTTTCAAAATCTATTTTTATAATTTGTTTTTACTAATAAAGAATTATATATATTAATGGTCAAAGTTGTGTCTCGACAAGTGTGAAATGTTGACCATTGCACTTATTTAAGAACAAAGGAAGTATTATATAATAGTACTCCCTTCATCTCACTAACAATGGGACAAGAGGGAGTGACACAATTTTATAAAAAGTGGTTTATGTGGTTGATATTGAATTAATAAAGTAAGAATAAAGTAAGAATGATTTAGAGCCATACAAACTTTACCAAATAGGGTATGAAACAATTTTAGTGGGACGGACCACAATGGTAAAATGGGACAATCTTAGCGGGACGAAGGTAGTAGTATATTGTATTTTATATTAGGAATAATTCATATAAATAATCCCAACTATTGATCATATTCCAATATTAATCCCAAAAATCAGTTATTCTAATTTATCAGTGTCATCTTCTGGTAACACTCCCGTGCCTATTTTTATTGGTCTTCAATTTTTCTTTCTGTTTTTTCGTTTTTCTTTTTTTCCTTATCTATTTTTCCTTCCCTTAGCTTTTTTCCCCTTCTCCGCCCGCATATGTTGGTTTCTGGCCAAGCTGTCGGTCCATCCAAGCTCATCTTCTGAAAGCAGGGCGCTAATCAAGGTTGTTAAAATCGTATTTTTGAATCGAATCGGTAGATGTTTTTAGAAATCGAATCGTAAAATCGAATCGCAAATCGTAAGATTTTACCAAACGTATGTTAATAATTACTACCTCCGTCCCCCTAAGTTTGGGACAAGAAAAGGTGGCACGGTTATTAATAAAAGTGGGTTTGTGTGGTTGATATTGAATTGATAAAGTAAGAATAAAGTAGGAATGATTTTGAACCACACAAACTTTACCAAATAAGGTATGAGACAATCTTAGTGGGACGGACCGAAATGGTAAAATGGGACAATCATAGCGGGACGGAGGGAGTATAAAATAAATAAATATTAAAATTAAGTTGCAAGTTAATGATATTATATCATTTCATTACATAAAACTATACCTAAAATGTCAAAAGCAAGATTTATAAACTGTTTTTATAAGGTAAATGTATTGAATAATAACATTAAACATATGTACAACATAAAAATATTTAAGTAACACAAGAATCCATTACTTTTATAAATAAACTATTCATATTATTATTATTGGAATTATCTATCAATTTGTAGTTGTTAATTTTAATAAATTTGAACCATTTTCATCAAAAACAACTTATTACGATTTTGCTACGATTTTATACGATTCTACACGATTTTAGGACGATTTTTTTACGATTTTGTACGATTTTATGATTTTACGATTTTACCTGCGATTTGAATCGCTTTATTAATGTAGAATCGTAAAATCGTACGATTTTACGATTTAAATCGAGATTTTAACAACATTGGCGCTAATGTGACACCCC